ATACATTAAATCATTAGTAAAAATAAAGATATATCCTTCAATTGTAAAGCTTGGTGTGTGTTAGTTAAACCCAACACTTTGCTTGGTAAAGATGATAGTTAGCTTAGTGCCTTAGTCATTAGAGCTAGCTTAGTAGCTTAGCATGTGTATTCTTAGTTTAAGAGTTGCTGTTGCATAAATACTAAGTGTTGCATTATTATTGCATGCATGTAGAGAAGAAGTTGGTGGAGATCGTGACCATCGGCGATCATGAGTACGAGGAGATGATCGAGGAGTACGAGGAGAAGATCCTTGTGCAGGAGGAGGTCCCGGAGCCACCACTGACTGACTCAGCTGACATCGCGCCTACCCAAGACAAGCCCCGTGTGTATATATATATATGTGTGGTGCATTTACGTTACAGGATCTATATTAAAACTACATGCATAGATAAACCTACCTATGAGTCCTACTAGCATAGATCGAGTAGCTGCTATGCTTAGGCTATCGGTAGCATGAGTAACCCGCCGTTACTCACAATAGGTGATTATTATTATTACTCTCATGATAAAATGGTGACAGGAAATGGAGAATGGGCAGGGATATGGTACGGGTATTGGTGGATGTAATATGTTGTGTCCTGCGACCAATGGGGCATAGTTTGGTTACACTGTTTTTCGTGTTCGTGTCGGTTAAGGATCGTCCGCTGCTGTGGATGGTAGTCAGGTCACAGATTTATTATCCTGAGCACATACTTTGCTTATGGGAGCGGGAAGGCTTGTTACTCTCTTATCGTGGGTTTCGACTCTTTTCGGACCGACTGATTGGAGGCGGGGATGGTGGAGGTCTAAGCACCACACTGAGTCTGGGACTTAAGAGTGGGGGCTTAGAGTCCAAGTTTGAATGGAGACCTAGACCCCTTGACAAGAGAGTGGTGGGTTGGTCTTGCTTGTGCCTGGAGTACAAGCGGGACATATGTTTTAGGGTACCCAGCTAGGATACATTGGTTCACGAATCGCCATGTGATACGGTACGACTTGACTATGATCTAGCACCGTAGTAAGAACTGAAAGATGAACGGGGATGAATGGATCTGATTGCTCAACTCTTGCTTGAAAGTAGAATATGTGCTTACATAGAATGGTTAGCTAATAAACTAATCATGACTGCTAATAAAACACATACATAAGGATTCACTACTAGTAATGCTTTTTAAAAAAAGAAAACCCAGCAAACCATGAAATTAATCATATTTTTTGGAGTCAGAAAATTATTTCCACTAGTTGGGTAAGTCTTGCGAGTACATTGTGTACTCAGGATTTATTTACCCCTGTTGCAGGTGCAGCTTGAGTAGTGGCTGTTGTGTGGAGGATTTTTCTGGTGGGCACAGACGGATCCTTGTATCTTATCGTTAGATGTTTATTTCAATTTCGTTGTTTAAATTCTGCACTCTGAACTTGGTATTGTAATAATGTATTTTCGAGAACTATTGTTGTATGAAATGGACTAAGTATTATAAACTCGTACTCATTATTAAATCCTAGATGAAAAACGTGGATTATTCGAGTTCTCCCTTGGGGTGTGCTCGACGGAACCATCCGATGTAGCTTACTTTCGGGGTGCTTAGCGTCTGTTAGAAGACGAGCGCCTTCAGAAACGTGCTATTTCGAGCGATTCTGCCACACATATGTGCTTGAGAGCTTGGTAGCGTTTTATTTCTTATTTTTCTTTATTTTTTACGAGCACTTTGAACCCCGGTACTCGTCACTCTAAAAATTCCTTGTTTACATCCCCTTTACCTTTTATTGCAGATATAGAAATATAAATATATATGCTACCTTTATATATTGTCACGAAATGTGATCTATTTTTTCTTAAGAATTAAGTGCATCTCAAGAGTTTCCAAAATCCACTTTCAATCTTGATTTTTTTGGTAAAAGATTAAAAAATTTCTCTCCAACAACTCGACCTAATCGTGTGGAAATATACGCGCGCCTAGATTGGCCAATCCGCAGGTGGAAGAATATGGAGAACGATAAGAAGTAAGACGGAATTCCTAATATAGATGTACAGGAGAGAAACAAAGTATAAAAGTGACCAGGCTGATTTGCCAATTTGTTTTTTAATATTTTAAGAGCGAGATTTTGAAAATTATTGACGGAACCCAAGAAATATACTACCAACGTTTTTTAGCCGTTTGAAAGACTAATTGATTTACCAATTAATTTTTGAGAACTATTGGAAATGCTCTAAGAGGCATGTTATACATCAGGCGCTTAAAAATATTATGACTATCAGCCTCTTAGGCGACGATCCTAAGCTGTTTTGACTCGTTGGCTCATATGCCTTTTGTTCCTTCAGATGGCAACAGCGGCTCCATATTGGCCTCTTGCTCTTGCCTATCGCCGGCCAACCTTCGTCCTCAGCAGCCTCTTGATCGTCGCGTCCTTCCCTCCCTTGTCCAGTCATTGTCGTCCTCCGTTCATAGCCAGCGGCGGCCCCAACGTTCCGCCCCCGCGCTTGCCTCCTCTCCCTTGCGGCCGTAGAGCGCAAGGCCTCCTAACCCCCTAACGTTTGGTACGTTTAGTGTAGACTTTAGTATGCTAATATTTTAGGCGACTAAATGATACCAAAAATTAAGAAATCATATCATATCATATACTCTTATAAAATTAAACCTCACTAGATGATTTATCTCTTTATATAAAGTGTTCTCATCATTCCCCACTAAAAACAAGGCAAATAATTTAGCGTGTTGCTTGCTAAATGCATGTGCCATATCACATAAAGTAAGTGATACAGTCTACTCATATAATATGTCGGATGGAAGATGGGCTGTATCAAATCCACAAGCAATTAATGTTTTGCAGGTGCAGCCGAGTTCAACGGTAGCTCCCAGCCAACAACCGACTGCAAGGTAGCCGTCTTGTAATCTGTGATTCAGCCGGCGAGAAGCTAAGCGCCGGCTCAGCACCCTCTCTCCTAACGTGGCACTTTTACTGTTGACGTGGAGCTCATCTCGCCGACCCAAATAACTTATTATACCTGCTCTAAGTGATCCCACTAGATGTTCTATTTCTTCATGTAAGACATCCACGGCATTCCTCATTAAATCCATGTCATTCTTTATTAATTACATAAAAATATCCACGTCGTTGCTATCATGTGATGTCCATATCATTCCCTACTAATTAATCCCACTAGATGTTTTATCTCTTCATGCAAGGTATCCACATCATCCCTACTAAGTCAATGTCATCCCTTATTAATTACAAAAAAAATGTCCATGTCATATCATGTGCAATACTTTTAATCTTTAATCTATTAGCATACAAGTCATCTACATACGCTATTTATTTCATCACCTATTCCTCTATAATGAAATCAAATAATCTATTGGTTTTTCTTCTATTAGCTTACCGATTTTTTAGTAGATCTGATATAATAAAATAACATGGAAGTCAAATTGTATATATTCAGAATACAGAATACCCTATAGTATGCTATGTATATAGTATATTTATTTTTAAGAAAATCGCACGGCAACGCATGGAGCATGCTTTAGTAATATAATGCCTACTCGGCAGTTTGTATGAATTTCAAACTCAGAGAGTGATATATATATTTATATATATCCCACAGTGTGTGGGCCATTTATCTCTCTTAGCGAAGCGCATCTTTCATATGACTTTTTGAATAGAGATACAAAATATTTATATATGATAATTTTAGAGCTATGAATCGGGCCACGCAAGTTGCCCAGCGCTCCGTATCCTTGACTCTTGAAACCGTAGAAGATTTCTTTGGAGCCTTCTTTTCAAGCGTACGAGTTGACAAATTAGGTTAGCTATACATAAATTGGTCGCGACCGGAATCTTATGAATGTGTCGTGTGCTGTTTGTGTATATAATAAAAAAAAGCTGGGTCTATTTGGAATATAAGAATTTTATTAGAATCACGTAAGAATTTCACGGAATCAGTTTAATTTGTTAGAAAAAAAAACGCAGGGCTAAGAATTATCGTGTTCCAAACATGTCATTCCTTATTAATCAGCACCGGCGTATTCCAAACCGTGCCCTTTGCATTGGGAGGTTGTCAATCAGGTCCGGGGTTTCCGTGCACGCACGACTTGTGAAGCAAAATATCTCGAAATTGTGTTATTCGGATGAACAAAAAAGCAAGCACAATCCAACCTTGGAAGCTTCAACTACCTTCGTACACTATACTACTATTATTAGTATCATCTGATCATCTCCCTCCAAGAAATGGGTCAAAATTGTGCACACGACGAGAGAAGTGTGCCGATGAACCTCTGCAACTAGCTGCATGTGGCAAGCGAATCAGTGCACGCAACAAAATATCCCCAATCTCTCCAGTGACGTGTGTCCATCGTTCACCGCTCTGCAGTGACTAAGGCCTTGTTTAGTTTCCACTTAAAACTTAACGCCACGTCATATTAAATATTTGACACTATTAAATATAGACTAAAAAATAATTAATTATACAGTTTACAACTAATTTGTGAGATGAATCTTTTAAGTCTAATTAGTCCATAATTTGATAATAAAGTGCTATAGTAAAAATATGTGCTAATAATGGATTAATTAGACTTAATAAATTCGTTTCGTAGTTTACTGACAAATTCTGTAATTTATTTTTTTATTAGTATCTAAACACCATACGACATCCCATATAATATCCGATGTGACACCCTATATCTTTAGAGCTGGATCTAAACGAGGCCTAATTTTTCTTCACATTTTTCCCATGTTTCCCGCTGCTATTAGCGTCTGACAGACATGGCCGGTACTACACCCCTGGGCCCTGACGCGACTTGGAAGTTGGAAGAAGAGACGCGGCTTGTTGGGCCTACGCCTACTACGACGGAGAGGGAAACGGACGCTATGGGAGGGAGAGCCTTTCCTTGCAAGAATGCTCAGCCCTGCACGGCAGCCAGCGACTTACTTATTGGCTGGGGAACGAACACCACAGACTCCAGGAATTGCCATTGCAGGTTAGACATGTCAATGCTACACCTCCCGTCATGCCGTCCTGCAGTCCATCCAGGTGCCTAACTCTCCTTCTTCCATTCACGGAGCATTTTCTTGCACTAGTTCATACTTTTGTACCACTTCATTTTTGTTTGAGAAGTTTGCACATATAGTTTGGTAGAGCGTGAGTGTAAAAATGCATGACTGACATGACAGGGTAATGCATGCAACAGTGTATAGGGGTGCTGGATCAGGAGGGAGCACACCGCTCAGATCAGCGCCGGATCAGAGACCAGGCTCAAGATCAAGAAAGGGCGTCGTCCTGAGTTCTCCGTCGCCGCGGTCGTTGCTCACCACCACATGCGCTCTGAAGACGCCCTCCTATGGCGGATCGAGGGAGAAGGTCAACCCCAGGGACCTGTTCACCTTCTCCTACAAGTTCAGCACCGACATCCCGATGAGCGAAACGCAAGGGGTAGGTTGCAAGTGCTTAAGGATTGGCCGGCCTGGGGTTTTTGCTCTGCACTGCACATCTCAGATGATCTGATCCCATGGGGGCTCTCTTTCTGTCTCTGCAGGCATCCATCGATGAGTACCTGCAGAACAGTCCGAGGATCGTCGGAGCGGTGTTTCCGGACCAGCGCAAAAGAAGAAAGATCAACGACGTGAGTTGCCTCGTCGCTTCTTCACCAATTTCATGTATGAAAGTTCTGTACTGGTGTTGCTCAGAAGTCAGAACGTGTTCGCACTGAAAATTTTGAAAGTTTTAAGTGCCTTTCATTTCATCTCATTGGCTCTGAAACCTGAATTTCCGGCGACCTATGCAAGAGAAGGAGTGAACAACACGTACACGCAATGCTAACAGAGTGCCACTGGTTGCCGTCTTTCTTTCAGGAAGAATGGAGCGTGCAGCTCTTGCCCATCCAGTTCCTCTTCCTGTCGGCATCGCCGGTGATCGTCATGCGCTTCGTCAGCAAGTCCGGCGGGAAGGAGTACCCGCCCAACGTGCCCGTCCACGCCACCAGCCTCCTCCTCATGGAAGTGGTAACTGACATCACTCCCTCCTCGATCAAGAACTCAACTTTTTTCACGTCTGTCTGAATGTAATGTACCCTGACGTGCTCTGCTGCTGCTGCTGCAAGCAGACGGACTACAAGCTGAATGGTCTGGACAGCAACGCCATGCCGTCGCACCTGGTCCTCACCGTCCGAGGCTTGATGTACCCACAGCGGCAGCGGGAGGGGAGGAAGAGCCTCAAGGGCCACGTCGAGATGACGGTCGGCTTCGACCTCCCGCCGGTGCTCGCCTTGGTCCCGGAGAGCATCATCAGAGGCGTCGGCGAGACGGTCAGAGCTTCATCTCCTCACCTGCTCTTGCAGAGAAACAATCATCGGTGTTTTTCTTCATCGGGATGATTGACAGGCATTTCGTGTGTGATGAACAATGCGCAGGTGTTGAGGCAGATGGCGGAGCAGATGAAGCAGGACTTCGACACAGGCCTGGCAGCAGATTTCAAGAAGTACAGGAGGGAGAAGCTAACCGAGAGGCGCACATCGCCCTGAATTTTGAGACACATTTCACAATCACAGCCCTGTATCATCAACAGTAGCCATGACTAGGAATTCTTTGGAGTCGCCTTGTTGTCAACCTCTTGCAACTATTCATTCACCAGTTGGATGACACCAAATAATGATAACAACTTGATGTATCACAAAAGGCCATGTTCCCTTATCTTATAATCCGTCTTTTTTAGCTTGTTTTTTCAACCGGAACAGTGTTTTTCTCTCACAACAAATCAGCCGAAACAGTGTTTCGGCTTGTTTTTTCAGCGAAGCGAACGGGGCCTTTATTCATTGTAAAAATGTTGCTCATTCATAATTACAAGAGTATCCATCCAATCCAATTTCAAAGAAATTTCTGGTCTCGATCGAGCAATTTCGTCTGTGTTTGCTGTCAGACTCGTCTGGTTCCATTTCAGCTAGGGACTTCTATGTACTACTATGTTGTATACAAGGCCTAGGGCCCATGCTTCCAACAGCTAGATGAATACAATTAACGATTCTATACAGTGTAAACACACAGCTCTAGTCTTCCAGTGGTGACCGCTTTCTCGCCCTTAAGTCGCGCTCCAGGCTTTGAGGCAATGGAGGAGTCCTTCCGCGGCGGAAAAGAACAGCAAGGGCTTTCATATTATGGCACATGTTGAAAACCTACAAACGAGCAGAGTCATGACAAGTTGTACATTCTGATCAGTTGGTAACTAGAAACTGTTAAGGTCCACCAAATAATTTACTTACTGATGATGCCTCTATCTCAGCAATTCCCTCGCACCCTTGACCGCCGCCCTGCAGAAGGTCGCAGTATTTTACAGCATCGTCCTCATCCTCAAATATCTGCAGCAAAGGATGGAAACGATTCAGAAGACTATAAAGCAAGTAACTGTACCAAGTATCACATCTAGTTTTTTTAGGGAAGTGCAATGGTGTCTTCTTTTACTATGGTACAAAAGTGAGTATTGATTCGTCTTATAACAAGATGTATATCCACGCTTTTCTTTCTATATTTTGCTCAATTTGTGCATAATCTAAAAGAGTGTGAATACGATGGATTAAACAAGTTAAATGTGTTAGACAGCCAGAGGAAAGAGAAGAACAGTTGCCTATGAAGAACATGCCCTGAAAAGTTCATCTCAAGCCAGCAAAGTACTCACCAGTACTCCCTCTCTGATATCTTCAACAACCATGTTAAACTTGGAGCCAGAGACTTTGATTTAGTTCCAACTCCAGAACCCCCTCCCTTTGAGAAAAGCTTTCCAAGTTCCCTTTCAACTTCGCTGAGAAGACAACAATAGATAACACCAGCAGTTCATACGATTCAGTAAATTGCAGGCTCGTGACAAGCTAAATGTAACAGCATCAATAAATTCTCACTTGCGGCTCCTGCGAGTTTTCATTGTCCATAGGTGGTTATCGCTTCTGGCCAGCACATAGACTGGCTTGGAATCTTCTCTCCATGGGTTTGTCTCCAGTACTGAATCATCATGAAAGTACACAAAGTTACTAAATTTAAAATTGCCATGTGCCAAATTATCATGTATATATTTACCATAAGGAGATTTTTTTAAAGAAAAATAAAAACTGATAACATTTCGAAGTATGTGCATCAGAACTCATCTAATCAAATACCCACAGCTATTTGACCATTGGATTCAGTCTCTAGCTACTACAAGAAGCTTATGCATATCAATTAGTAATGGCCCACAGCAGGCTTGTCCAATTGGTCAAGTAGCACATGACACACCTAAAGATGAAGCCATATCTTGCCCACCTGAAACTGCACATTTCAAGAAACACAAGACGCGTGAACCAACCCACAAACCTCACATAGTAGATGCTGATCTCCAGTTGATTGCAGCACGCAATCCTCCCGTGCACACAAACATCGCATCATTGGGCAATTCGTACCACGCGTTTCATCAAACACGCCGCGCGCACAACTAAACCCTGAACATTTAGGCCAAACCGACACGAACACCTTAAGCTATGCTAAATCACTAAACCCCCAAGCGTTAACCCAATCTAAGTTAAGGCAACGAGAACTTGATCGAACATGGAGAGGCTTAATAAGATCCAAGAGGCGTCACCGTCGTAGGCGAGGGAGTCGAGGGACTCCATGAGGTGGCGCCGCATGCCGTAAGCGCGGGAGGAGACGCGGCGCAGGAACTCGTCCGAGGTCCCGGGTATGCCGCCGTCCATCCCCATCGCCCTCTCCACCTCCTGCGCGTCTCCGTCCCCCTCCGACGGCGGCGGGGGCCGGGGACGGGGCGACGCGGCCGCGGCCACGACCGCCCGGCGGTGCGCCGCGGCGAGGCGCAGGCGCGGGCGCGGGATGGACAGGAGCGAGGAGGCCGTGAGGTTTCCGGCCAGCGTGGTGGAGGCCGCAGCCGCCGCGGGCGGCGGCGGCGGGAGGGACGGCGAGGAAGCTGCCATTCCACGTTCCACAAAAAGCGAGGCGACGAGGCGGACAAGTGCGAGGAGTGAAACGTGGACAGTTGGACACGGCAGCCACGCTACAGTCTTCCACTGCGGTTGTTGGGTTCGGCACGTTTCGGAACTCAATTCAGACGCGGCTTCGGTCGGAATCCTTGACGTGTGGGCGGGTGGCGGCGACCACGGCCCGGCCTGTCCTACCGTGTTCCATTTTGGACCCGTCTTGGGTGTGCAAAGGCTGAATGATGTTGGGCCGAAAGAGGATACACAGGCCGGGCAGCGAGCTTTTCTTTTAGAAAAAAAAACAGAAATACGGCCTATGCTATACTATACCTTATTTATTTTATTTATGGTCCGATTATTACATCTCTGCTTCGTTTGTAGAATAGCTATTTTTTCTTCTCGGCGCCACGAGCAACTTTATTGATAGAACTCAAGTTATTTTGATGAAACATTTGGAAAACGGACAGAGTAAGGCCCAGACGTTCGGACGGGGGCTAACGTCCGGACGCCCACGCCTATTGTGCCTGACCGCGCCCCCGCGTGGGCATGCTGCTGTGCCCGCCCGCACGCCTACGACTGCTTCACGTGGGGGCCCAAGCCGCTCTGTTTCCCACGCTTGCGCACACCCTCGTGGGGGGTTGTCTCGATCTACGCTCGCACCGTTTCCCGTGCCTACCACTCACGCCCCTCCACACCCACGCACATGCAGATGGGTCCCACTACAACATGTGCAACATCATATCTACTTTTGCCACATCTAGATGAAACACTTGCAACATATATCCGAAAACAATTGAGATAATTGCAACATACATCTGAAACATGAGGAAAACACATGTGTAACCATTGCAAAACATATGCAACATCCAGATGAAGCACTTGCAACATACATATGAAACACCTGAAACATACTGTCGGTGCAGAAAGTGACCAACACGTAAATATTTATAGTTTTGCCGTACGTTGTGATCGGATGTGGCCTAGCACTCAATAACACAGGGTTTATACTGGTTCAGGCAACGTGCCCTACGTCCAGTTTGAGTCGGTCGGTGACTTTATTCCTGAGCCTAAGTGCTCAAAGTTTGTTGTGGGGTTACAAACGGAAGAGAGAAAGATGGGGTTGCAAGAGGTCCGGTCGGACTCGGAACCGAAGGGCCGAGAGCGATGGGAGCTCCTACGTGCGCTAAGTGTTTGAGCGAGTGCTCTGTTCTTGTGAGATTGATCGTGAGTGGATCCGTTGGTGGTTCCCCCCTCTGTTGGGGGAGAACGCGTTCCCTTTTATAGATGAAGGGGACGGCCTTACAAGTGAGAGAGGAAGAGTGTATGTATGCTAAGTCTTGTCGTCCACGCCGTCGGGTATAAGATGATTGTAGGCGCTCACATTACTGTTAATGTCAGATGCATGTGGGAGGCTCCGTCATCTTCTTTTGGTATGGCAGATGTCGATGCCTACCATACCGTTGATGCCCAGAGGCATGTGGGGGTTTTTACCGTGTTTACCATGTGGGGGGGTTTACCGTGTTAGCCTGATATGGGGGTCGATGGCGCCCATAACACCGTAGGGCAAAACATCGGCGCCCACAACACCGCTTGGGTTCTGACATACCTGGAAGGTTGTAGGGCACCCTTCTGACAAGCCCTATTGGTACTGTCCTACAGGTGTACAGAGTATGGTTCTCGGTATTGCGGTTGACTTGAGCGTCCCATTTTACTTGCTCTGCCCGTTTCCTGGCCCTCACCGAGCTGGCGTCCCCGGTCGGTTGGTCCCAGTTGGCTCCGACTGCGCCAGTCGGAGAAGGGCTCTAAGCAGAGGTTCGGTGCATCCCCGGTGGGAGACGCATGTTGAATCGGAAGCGGTGTAGGCCAGGCCTTCCGGTTAGAGAGGCGGGTCGGAGTCAGAAGCGAGGCCTTCCGATCGGAGAGGCGGGCTGGAGTCGAAAGTCCTCCTCGGCCAGGCCTTCCGGTCTAAGATTGGATCACCCTTCTGGCCTGTCGTTAGGTATTTAGGCCAGCCCAGGAGTTGCACATCGTTCGCAACGTTGCCTGCCGGGGTGGGCTTCGGCTGGGAAGCCGGTCCATGAGGGACCTTAGGTTTATGAACCCGACAGGAGCCCCTGAGCTTCTAGACGATTCGGATAGAATCATCTGGGGGATTTTTGTCTTGATGGCGGGTGCGCGCGAGCACACCTGCGGGTGTAGCCCCCGAGCCCCGGGCGATTTGGGTAGAATCGTCTGGGGGGTTTTTGTTAGCGGGGGAATTTTTTGCTTCGTCAGCGGGTGCACGCGAGCGCACCTGCAGGTGTAGTCTCTGAGCCCTCTAGTGATTCGGGCAGAATCACCTGGGGGTTTTGTCAGCGAGCGTGAGTGTGTGCACTGTAGTGGACGTAGTCTCTTATTTTCCGGTTTCAGACCCATCGTTTCTGGGAGCATGGTGCCAGGAGTTTGGTCACGGCCGAGGGACTGGGCGAGACAGAGTTTTATAAACCGGGGCATCGGGCGCGCCAAGGGTTCGGGCGAGTTGGAGTCGCTAACCAAGGCATCGGGCGCGCCAAGGGATCGGATGAGGTGGACTCACAGATCTAGGGGACGGGCGCGCTGAGGGATCAGCCGAGTCGGAGTCACGGATCTAGGCGTCGGGCACGCCGTGGGATCAGGCGAGTCGGAGTCGCGGATCCAGGCGTCGGGCGTGCCGTGGGATCGAGTGAGTCAGAGTTGTGGATCCAGGCGTCGGGCGCGCCGTGGGATCAGGCGAGTCGGAGTCGCGGACCTGGGTGCAGCCGAGGCATTGGGTGTCTTGAGCCCCTGAGCCCCGTTGGGCTTGGTAGGGGTCGGTTGAGTTTCGTGCGTTACCCCGTCCATGGTTTCTCACAACCGCTGGGGCTGAGCTAACGTCGCTTGCCTCGATGGCTTGAGTGACGCGCTCGGTGAGCTCGCTAACGGGCATGTTCGAGTGAAGTCCGGGTCCGACGTTCGTGATGGAGTCGGCATAGCCCTCATGTGACACTCCACTGCTCCTTAACCCACGTCCCGACAGATGCCTGGGTTGTTCCGGAGACCGACCTGGGTGGCCCGCTGGCCTCCCCTCGATGGAGATTCTATGGGCATGGCTCGAGGTTAGGAGTGAACGAGAAGGTTGAGATGACCCTGTCTGCTTCAGGGCGGACTGGGCGAGGGCCACTCGGGGCTCATCTGTGTTTTCTCCCCTGGCTCTGTTTGATGTGAGGCGGCCTTGAGCCCTTCGTGGGCCAGCCTTCGAACCCCGGTCAATCGTTGCTCATGTTGAATGAGGCAACTACCGCTTGGTGACGCAACATGGAGCGTTGTGATGCATTTAACTGCATATGCAATGCTCTAGATGTATGGGATGAATGAATGCGTGCATGAATGTATGAATGACAGCAGATGAATGAATGATCATATAAAGAAATAGTGGGGTTTGGTAATGTTACCTTGATGACTCGAGCGATGGGGTTTGAGGAGCTCCTATCAGATATGTTCGACTGGAATCCACGCTCGTCATTCATGACAGAGTCGGCATGGCCCACATAGGGCGTCCCTCTGCTCCTTACCTGTCTCTCGGCGTTTGCCTGAGCCGTTCGATCGACTTAGGAAGCCCGTTGGTCTCTCCTGGGTGGAGATCCCATAGTTAGGCCTTTCCAAGTCCCCCCTGGGAAGGCGGAAGGCCGCCTACACATAGTTGCGCCTTATTTCTCACGCTCGGCATGCGGTAGTGGTGGGCCATACCTAGGCCACATCTCGTCTGACCAGGCACCATTCCGTCTGGTAGGGTGCGTCCCATCGGTTTAAGGCACGTCCCATCGTATCCCATTCGCATTGAATGGGGGAAGTGAGAGGGTTTTTTCGCCCCAATCCCTCGTGTTTCCCCTACTGCTGCGCCTTTCTCCTTAAATAGGGGAAGGGATAGGGTTTTCATCCCATTCCTTCACCTATTCCTCATCTACCGCCTCTCCTCCTTCCTTCTCATCGAGAGCGTTCGTGCGCCGCGGCGGTTCCTAAGTGAGAGAGAGGGTAAGCGAGAGGGAGAACTCACAGATCCGTTCATGAATCTAAAGCGCAATGTCAAGCTGGAGGCCACCCGAGGCGGTGCTAGCCGCCTTCATAGAGAAGGGGCTGCTTTCACCTAAGGAAGTGGCGCATCGGATCCTGCACGGGCTCCTTGATGAGTGGGGCCTAGAGCTGCGACACCTCAATCCGATTGGGGTGCTACGTGTCGCCGACTTCGTCACCGTCTGTGAGACCTTCTTTGGGATGGAGCCGTACATGAACTATTTTCGACGGATCTTCACCGAGCCAGCCTTGTTGGAGGGGAAGCTGTCCAGGACTGCGCCGGTGGGGGGTTTTGCCCCTACAGCTGCTCAGGTCGGTCAGTTCACAAAGTTTGATGAGATGTCAGGGACATCCTCCAGCCATGGTGGCCATACTACGGCAGGCAGCATCCCTATCGAGGGGCTACCCTATCTGTATGGGAAAGTCTGGAGCTCCATGTTCTTCTGCTGAGCATCTATGGGCGCGACGCCCTTGAGGTACCCGTTGCGCTTCGCCGAAGTCGAGGGAGCAAAACTGGGCGGGGTCCTTGCGGGCATGACTGAAGGCGTGCGTCAAGAAGACATCACTCAGGCTACGGATGGAGTGGAGGTCGGGTCGGAAGCTTCGTCCGAGCCGAGTGTTGCTCCGTCGGAGGGCGAGCAGCCTTTATCTTCGCCGGTCGCGTCGTCAGCCGATGCCATCAGGCGGCCACAGTAGAAGTAGCCAGTAGATGGAATAGTTTGAAGTTCATGGGGGAGCCCCTGTGTGAACAGTTGTTTTGATGAATACATCAATTTTTGTTTTGTGATGAATTACTTCATTCAAGGAAGCTTGTCCCATCTGTTCCTTATTTTTATCTTAGCATAGCTTTGTTTTTATTCTTTCTTTCTTCGCACCTGCGCATTCCTACCGTAGGCTACAACCTTAAGAGCCCGGGCATGGCCCGCGAG